TTTTTTATTTTATATATTTTTCGCCGGTCCGGTTTGATTTCAAACCATAATTAAAATTCTCAAACCTAAACCAAACCATTTTTGACCGGTTTGGTTTGGTTCAAAACCATTTCGTTGACGGGTCCACGTGGCACCAAACCGCCGATTTCGAAATTGCGGTTTCGATTCGATTTTCCGGTTTGGATGTTTTTGCTTACAGCCCTATCAAACAGGAGATAAATAAAAGATACGTACAGATTTACATAAACTAAGTGATACATTTGAAATATATAGAAGCACTTGACAATAATGGCTAGTATTGCACATCTAGTCTTCCAAAATACCTTTCCAAGTAGAGACCAAGAAAGACAAGTCGATAAAAAAAAAATCAAGTAGCAATGTTATAACGAATGTGCCTAAGAAGCACTGGAATTACAACGTCCGGCGAGCTCAATTGAGGTAGGTGACCATTAGTCTGCATCACTTCTACTATGGATTGGCCACCAAGGTTCTGGTGCAGGTACTCAGAAATCATCACTGGAACAGCTAAATCTTTCATACTCTGAATTATGTGACAAGGTATAGTGACATGACTTAACAAATGTCGCATATCACTTTGAAATATGGTTTGTGCCACACTTAATGCTATATCGGGTCTCATGTTGAACAATGTCCTGCTGAATTCTTGGACTGCCATTGTTTCCATGTCACCTCCTACGACTAGAGGTGCAAATCCATCACACCATGCCTTGTAATTGGATTGCATGGCTTCAAATAATTGTTGAATCTCTTCATGTTCAAATCCTCCGTAGTAGTCTGTATCATTCAAGTATCTGAGTACAAAGTTAAATGAATATTGTGAAATTGAGAACGCTTAGATGTTATAACGAATTGAAAAGCACTAGATGAGATGTGATAAAAGAATAACAAGAGTATATGTAATTAGATAGCAAAGCCAAAATTCAACACAAAAGGGCGTGGCGCGTGCAATCAAACCACATTTAACCTTTAAATAGAGGAGTAAAAAGTACCTAATTACCTAAGTTTAAGGGTGTCCTGGACACGACACAATGCTCATGCAGATGATATTTAGAAAAAGGGAACAACTCACAAATACATTAAAAAATTTACTAATTCCAAACTTAATTTTAAACATTTTTTATTCTCAAAATAACATTTTTTAAACTAAGTTAAAATAGTGTGTTACATTGTTACACAATACTCCACCACCGTGGCTTCCACTAATGTAATAAATTGTTACCATTGTAATACTCAATATTCCTCCACCGCCATGGACCCCACTACTTGTAACATTCATTTTACACCACTTTAGCTATCAACACCACTTGTAACAAACACTGTTACACCACCACTGCCACCATCACTGGCAATTACATCCGTCAACATCACGCCACCATCTACCCTCTTAACTATCGGCAGCCACTGCTAGCACCATCCTCACCCATCCCATCCCACCGCCACAGACCATTGCCTCCTCCTACAGCCCCACTGTACTAAAAATATACAAAAACAAATGAACTAAACCAAGGATAGTAGACCCATCTAATTGGACCTATCTATGGAGCAGTGTAGAATGATGTTATTCTTCTTACTTCACGACTTTTGCTTCTTATGGTCTGTTTCATTGTAAGAGTAAAATTTAAGTGGAAAGAAAATGAATTCCAAAAAATTGAATTGTCTAAAATTGTTTTACTGGAAATTGTCAATTAATTATGTTTGATTGGTATAATTTTCCACGTAAAAAATATTTAACTTTTGGATCTTTTGGTGTTCGTTTGGCTTTATCTTTTATGAAAATTGTCTATTAAAGAGATTTTTTTTACACAATTGGCGATAAAATTTGTGTCAATTGCAAAAAAATAAAAAATAAAAAATTTAACCTGAAAACCATTTTCCCACCATCATTCAATTGGTGCACGTGTGGAGGTGGGTGGAGTTAGTTTTCCATGGCAAACAAAACCCATCAAATCCTTGGAAAAAAAAAGGGCTATCAAACATAGCATTATAGTTACTCAATAATGTTACGTCTGGGCTCCATTAAAATGCGTTTTTGAGGAAATTATATTTTGAAATAGCAATTTTTTTATAGAATGTACGGTTAAAAAGATGTAATTTTATTTTATTAAAAAAAATAATATTATTTTATTGAAAGATATGAGTGAAAAAAATGTTTCTGAATAATTCACTGCCGTTTATCTTTTTCATTGAACAGTAATTGTGAAGACCTGTGCGCTACTGTGTAAATAATTGACCGATATTGATTGATATTTACAAATACTATGTAACTTCAACTCAGTGTTCACTATTCATCAAAACCAAACCATTTTTAGGGCATCTTTGGGTTTGGATTAAAATATGAGTCAAAATATCACACATTTCAATCATACATTTCAAAAATTTCTATAACAATCGACTAAAAATCTAATTTTAATCCCACCAAACACCCTTTTAGTCAAAGATCTAACCTCGGCGAAGCAGAGATGGCGACAATCTTGGTAAAAAGATCGGGTCGGGTTATCGAAGCGATAGCCCCAATCATGGCGGATACAGAATGCCCCACAAATATACAAGACTGAACCCGAAGCTCCTCCAGTATTGCAATCACGTCATAGGCATACCCGTCCAGTGTCGAATACCTTTCAAAATCAAAGTAATCCGGATTGGTGGTTCCGGCGCCCATATTATCAAACAGTATGAGCCGATAATCGTCAACCAGATGCGGTACAAGGTGCTTCCAAACCGACTGATCGGTTCCAAACCCGTGGGCTAGTACTATGGTTTGGTTACCCGAACCAACAATTTTCACGTTGTGTGCTTCTTCAATTAAACCCATTTTCTTCTTCCCCAGCAAACGGACTTTCCTGAGGTGATCTGGGGAGTGTCGTACTGAAGACGCTGTAGACTTTTGGAGGAAACTGCGTGGACCGTTTTGTACTCTTGTTTATTGTTGCGGAACAAGACGAAAAATCAGCTAGGTTCGGAGGAGGGGTGATGGCAACCATATGTTTGTTGATAATATTCTTCACAATTATGGTATATTTTTTCATGGGGCCCACAGTGAAATAACAATTTTATTGTTGGAATAATAATCTGATTTTCTAAAAAGCATATTTGACAAGTATTTTTAAACACTTATTAAAAATTAAGACCATAAAGATTAAAATTAGATTTTTAGTATATTTCGGTAAAAAATGATGAAATGCGTGATTAAAAAGTTGTCTGACCAATGAAATATATGATTAAAATTTATTGTTGACTTTGATTTATATTAAAATCTGAATTTTAATCCATATCAAACATGGGCTAAATCACCTTTTTATCGTATATGTTATGAGAATAACAAATACATATCTATTTATTCACAACTCATTTCTATTTATTTATAAAAAATATTGTTTATAAGAGATTGTTAAATATGCTAGTGTTTTAGAAAATGTAAGTTATATTCAAGAATATTGAATTATAATTGTAAATTTGATCTTCACATAAGAAAACATGTACAAATTCTTTAAATTTTTAAGTGAGCACTGAGATTAGGGAAAAAATAGTGTTCTAAAAAGCATAAAGCGTGACTAAGTGAAGGAGAAGTTTCAAACTTTACAAGTTTAGGAGAAGCTTAAGCATAAAAAAAAGTTTTCTTATTTTTAATATTATTTTAAATTTTTAATCATTTTAAAAATCATTTAAAAATTAAAATAATACATATCAAATATTAAAATTATAAAATACTATATTTACTTAATAATTCCTACATTAGTCAATTATACAATTTTCAAATTTTCAAAATGCAAAAATTAGAATGTTTTTCGTAATTTCAATTTTCAAGTAGACAAATCCCACTTAATAGATTTGTAAGACCTTTATACATGCTTTTAGAGTTTGTAATAAAATAAAGATTCTCAAGATCATAATTACATAATGTAAATAACACTATATCTTAAATTTTATTGAACTATTTTTAAAAAAAAGTCATTTTTAACTTTTGTGCAGGTAAGATATTTTTAAAAAATTGATATTAAAATTAAATGAAAAGTTTTTTTAAAAAATAAAAAAACTAATAAGCTAAAGTCAAATAAAAAAACCTTTTTTTTAAAAAAAATAAAGAAAGGAAAAAAAGAAAAAAAACTAATAAAACTTGCCTAGAAAAATGAAAGTGGGGAAGGAAAAAATTCAACCGTTTAAAAATTGGGAAAAAAAAAAAAGTTATCTAGACACGAAGCGAGCTGTTTTGCTCGAACTTCAAGTTTAGGCGAGCTTTTTAAAACACTGAAAAAAGATAATTCCCTCAAAATTTCTAGACACGAACACAAGCGATCATATGAGCCGAGTTTCGAAATTGGAATAAGGTCATTGTGGATGGATTAACTGTAAACAAATATTAAGAACCATTATTTAGAAATCAATATTGCAATTTAACAAAAAATTATGACATTTGGCGATGGGTCCTTGTCAACTGCTTGTGGTACAACAATGCTATAATTGATATTGTCAATCACGCGTGCCTTACAACATCATAAAATTTGGACAACATCTTTTAATTCAAATCCGTACTTTCAAAGTATCATATACTAATCTCAAACAAACATATAATATTGAGATAATGTGCACATTGAAACAAGGAAATGATAGTACAGATCATCTTGCAAATAAGTGAGAAATTTAATCAATAATTTTGGATGAACAACTCATGGACTTAATTATAGCTTCAACTACAGCGTAACTACAAACCGACGCCAAATTTTGTTTGTTACCCCATTTTTAAATATTAAACAGACAAAACAAATAAAACTAAGGGACCCCTTGGCGGTTCACAGCATCAGTGGCGGAGAGTTGAGCCTGGGGATTGGTTGCGCCGCCACCTGTCTCAGTCAGCGCATCGGTGGAGCTGACAGCGCCGCGGCCAGGTTGAGGCTGAACTGAAGGTGTCCCTGCGTTCCATAGCCTTGTTTCTTATAATCCTCCAAATCTTTGTACTGCGTGTATGGACTAGTCTCCACTGGTAGCCCTTCTAAATTCCCTTTCTTTTCAATATTCTCTTGTTTTCTATCCATCTGTCGTGTTTATTTTGTGTTCTTCGATTTGATTTATGACGTTTGGCTGTGGACTAGTGCGTTCCTCGTTTTTTTTGTTATATAAGGTTGTTGATTCTCTTTGTAATGGTTCCACGTGGCAAAGAGGTGTGCATTTTTTGCATGATGTGTCAATCACTGAGTGAATGGGCTAAAGCCATGCAAAACGTTGTTGTTGACTTGTTCCCTTTCCCCCTCCATGTAAAACGCAATTTTCTCCGTGTACTTCTCTAATTGTTGTTTTATTAGCTGTTCTTTTCCTACTCGAGTAGAGAAAAAATAAAAAGAATTAATTTCGTTACAATATTTAGAGTCGGTATCAAAGTTTTTTATAAAAGTTCTAGCAGAAATTAATAATAGTTAATGAAATATGTGATTAAAATCTTGATAACAGTTCAAGACTGTGTGAAATGTACTATTCAAATTCACGTTTAATCCAATGAAAAGTCACATCAATTACACTGAGAAATAAATGGTATGAACAAGAACTTAATAGCTAATTTAAGAACTTGTCGATTATATCCAGAACATACTTAATTGACTGATCATTCAGTGCAACGTGTGGATGCAGACAAATCAACAACCCTTTCTCTCAGAAAATAACGAAGATAATTTAACGGGAGCTTATACGAAGCCATGAGCCATTCGACCAAATGAACATGTCAACAGAAGAGCAGGACGAACCGATCTACATGGAACTCAAACAAAAACAATCAAAATTTGTTTTAGAACTAGTGAAGTACCTTTATCTTGATCAAACTTCACATTAAATTTGTTCACAAATGATGTCTGCAACCTTAACAGCCAGCTAAACAATCGACGCAAGTGTGAAGTAAAATTACAATAGGAGTCTCTGGGGCGTGAAACAGTGTCTTTAAGCTATTGGGTCCGTAGTCTGCTATTCTCTGCAGCCCTCACTTGCGAGAAATATGGGTGGGCCTAGAGAGAGAACAAAGGTACTCTATGTATTAGTTTGAGAGATCATCTTTCTGAAGGAAATGACAGGCAAGTCGAAAAGTACAGGAAAAATGAAAAGATCAAAATAGGATGCACTGATAATAGTAACAAAAATAAGCAAATAGATAACAAGGCTGCAAAAATTACCATGGCTTCTTTTGCCGTGAGTCTATCCTGATGATCGTACCGAAGGAGCTTGTCGAGAAAATCTATCGCCTGTAAGTAACAAAAGAAGAGACGATTAAACTCATCGAAATATTTGCAAACATTAATAAGCAAAAATCAGTCAGCTTCTGTTTTTCTTTTGCGAAATAAAAAGAAATGACCTCTGGAGATACTAGATGCTGATTATCTGCATTGACAAATTTTGTCCAGGGTTTCCTGCTGTGTCTGTAAAACGAAAGATGAGTCAGCTTCATATCAATGCACCTTAAGATAATGATATCTAGAATAGTCTTAAGCTCGTTTATATAGTCAGAATTTGTTGCATGGGGCACACCTCCCGACTAGAGCTTCAAGTTGAGGATCAAGTTCTAACTGATATTTATGCAAATATGCATTCAACTCATCTGTCCCAAGCACCTGGTTGAGGAATTTGATATCAGATACAGATTAAATAGCAAATACATCAGCTTTTCTGTGAACATGCACAGCACAGTGTTATTTTGAAATTCATAATAAATTTCTATATGAACTAACATTTTTAATTTAGATAATTAGACTGGAAGTCTGATGTTCCCTTGATTTTACACACCGACTAAATTCAGATCCTAAGCACCGCATCTAGACCATTTGGATTAACAAGAATGCAATACTGTGTATGTCTTTATTGATCTAAAAAACATTATGATGTTAACAACCAAAAAAAAAAAAAAATTTCAACTCCATAGTTTCACAGAAAACAGAACTGGATGATAGGGTTAAAACTGTTTTGGCGAAGGCCAAAAACTGTATTACCTTGGCAATCTTCACAAGTTGGTCCTGGTTGTCATGTCCATAAAAGAAAGGTTCCTTGCGAAAAATCTATATTAAAATAGCAAGCACGGTGAGCACGTGAAGCAGAAAAAAGTAAATCATTGGGCACCACAACGCCATTTCATCTCAGTTTAAAATCAATACCATTTTTCTATCCTACTTCTTGCAACCCTTCCCTTCCACCAAAAAGAGGAGGGGTGGAAACTGGGGGGAAAAAATATAAAATACCAGTAAACTGAATAGATACAGTTTTTCAGTGTCGAACTCTCACCATTCCAGCAAACATGCAACCAAGGCTCCACAAATCTAATGAATAGTCATAGTCTTGGAGGTCAACAAGAAGTTCTGGACCCTTGAAATATCTGTAAGAAGAGAGAATTTCAGCTGTAAGGAAAACTAAACTAGCAGTTCAGATAATGAAACCCAACAAAAAAAAAAAAAAACAAAAGAGCAACAAATACAACCAAAAAGAAAAAGAAACAAAAAACATATTTATCATTTCAAAAATCATCAACCTTTAATACATAAGTATATGCTCTAGGACGACATTTATCTCTATCGCGTGGACGCAAGGAAAGTTCGAGATTAAACTTTATTCCATGGTATTTACATGAGGTTACTCTTTAAGAAAGTCACCGAGAGGGCTTAGTTGATCCATGATTTATGTTTCATCTTTCGATTCCGTTTCGATTGTTTCGTGAAATCAATCGATC